ACCGTACGGCCCAGGGGGGCGGTGTTGCTATCTGGATTCGGGCCGACCTGGCTTTCACAGAACTAGAATGTATTGATACTGGTGGAAATGAAATCCTGTGGGTTCGCCTCAAGACAGCAGCTGGCCCATCCATTGGAGTATGTGCTGTGTATCGCTCAGGTTCATCCGCTTATGGAGACATCTCTGCCCTAAACAGCATCAGCTCTGGCATAGATGAAGCTAGGCAATGCTGCCAGAATATCATCGTTGCAGGTGACCTAAATGTTCACAACCGGGAATGGCTAGGCAGCAGTAGAACTTCCCCTGCTGGTGAAGCTGCTGAAGATCTGTGTTACCACCATTGCCTCGATCAGCATGTCCATGAGCCAACACGTGGCAATAATATCCTCGACCTCATAATGTCAGATATCCCTGGAAGCGTCATCTCAACTCTCCATCCACCTCTAGGGAAATCTGACCACGCAGTTGTGGTAACTGACTTTGAAGTTGCCCCCTCCTGTGACCGTCCCAGTAAGCGAACCGTGTGGCGCTACCAGCATGCTGACTGGCCTCGGCTACGGGCTTTCTTTCGGTCCACAAACTGGGTGTTGACTGATGACAACAGCATTGACGTCTCTTGTGTGAAACTCGAACAGAAGATCAAGGAGGGCATGCAGATATTCATCCCATCCAAAACCCTGAAGCTACGCCAGGGAGACCCAGCCTGGTGGTCACCTGAGTGCCAGGAAGCTGTTGACAGGAAGCAACGTGCCTGGCGACATCACCGATCTTCGCCCAACAATGCACACCTGCGGCTGGCCTACTCTATGGCAACAGGTGAAGCAACAAACTGTCTGCACAGAGCCAAGCAAGCGCACACTACCAGTATCCGCCGAAAGATAAGAGAAGGTGCCCTTTCCAGCCGACAATGGTGGACAACCGTCAAGCGAGCAGGTGGGCAAGGACACCGCTCTGCAGACATACCTGTTCTGCGTGCGTCGAACGGAACTGAGCACACCACCTGCAGCGAAAAGGCCGAAGCATTTGGGCAGTAATTCTCCGCAAAGTGCAGTCTTGGTGACAACGACTTGCAAGCCAACAGCCTCCCTCCAGTCCGCCCCCGATCTCAAGCCCAACTCCGCAATGTCCACTTTCGGCCAAGCACGGTTGAGCGGAAGCTGAGGCAACTCCACCCCGCCAAAGCCACGGGTCCAGATGGCATCCCCGGGCGTGTACTCCGGCAATGCAGCAAAGAGCTGGCTGCACCAGTGTCGCGGCTCTTTTCGCAGGCCTTCCACCAAGGTCGGCAACCTACAATGTGGAAGACGGCAATGGTTGTGCCGGTGCACAAGAAAAAATCCAAGTCTGATGTTAAGAACTACCGCCCGATCTCCCTCCTCTCTATTCTGTCGAAAGTCATGGAGGCCATTATTAACCACTCAATCCGACAGTTCCTGGAGGCACACAACATCTTATCGAAAAGTCAGTATGGCTTCCGCAGCCAACTCGGCACCCAGGACATACTCACGCTACTCAACTACCAATGGAGTCGCGTTGCAGCCAGAGGTGGTGTGGTTCGAGTCATTGCAGTTGATGTGGCTGGCGCATTCGACCGCGTCTCTCATGTAGGCGTTTTGCACAAGGCACAATGCCATGGTGTAACTGGTCCACTTCTCGCTTGGCTGAGGGATTACCTGACTGATCGTCACTTGAGGGTTGCAGTTGGAGGTGAACTTTCCAGTCCGTACCCGACCAAAGCTGGCGTGCCGCAGGGCAGTATCCTTGGTCCACCCTGTTCATCCTCTACACCAATGATGGCGAGGACCACCTCCCACCAGGTATGGAGCTAGCCGCCTACGCTGACGACACCACTCTCTTCCACTGCCTCACATCAAGAGCTGACATTGACTGTGGCTCCGAGCTCCTCCAGCAGGGCATTGATGCGTTTTCCCGTTGGGGACGTAAGTGGAGGATCAAATTTGAGCCCTCCAAGACGCAGGCTATGTCTATAGGCCACCATCGCCAGCCCTGGGAGCTCCCTCGAGCAACATTTGACGGCACACCGGTCAGTGAAGAGAGTCGGCTGAAACTCCTGGGAGTCACCTTTGACGACACCCTGACCTCCGCTCCCTAGCTTCCCGTGCTAACCAGCGGATTGGCTTCCTGAAGCGAGCGTCTCCCATTCTGGACGCCGAGAGCCGCCAACGCGTCTACAACGGCTTTGTGCGACCCACACTCGAGTATTGCCCCTTAGTGTGGATGGGCTCACCCTCGTCCCATTTTAAGAAGCTGGACCAGATCCAGCGAAGGGCCTCCACATCATCGGAGCAGGTACTTGGCTCCCTAGCCTGGCACTCCGTCGCCTGGTAGCTGCACTTGCCTATACCTACAAGCTCTGCTATCTAGATGCATCCAGCCCTCTGAAGCAGATGCTGCCTAAACCAGCCACTCACCGTGCCCCCGAGACAAGACCTACCCGTCAGTCTCTCCAGCTGCAGGATTCCCATCCATACCAGATGAC